AAGTATGTTCATAAAAACTAATTGAATTTTTTAAAAATATCAAAGCCCCCTCTCTAAACTTCTTGGGTAACCTTTTGCTTCTCTCTCTTGAATTTACCTGTCTATCCTCTCTCTAAACTTCTTTAGTAGCATGTGGTTATCTTCTTCAATGTGCTTGATCATCTTCTCTATGAAGACATGCTTCTCTAGAGCTCCTAACCTCGTAACGTCCACCACCCTCTTCCCATCGCTGAAATCATAGACCGTCCATTTGAGGCGATCATAACTCGACAACCGCTCGATTGCAGCCCACTGTAACTCGATGTCTTCTTCCTCTCTCCTCTCCATGGAATTCTCTCTCCTAAAACTCGAGCCATCTGATAATGGAGCATTCATGCGCAAAGACCTTCTCAAGCTTCTTCCCATATCAGACAGTTCCATTCTCACTGATTGTGCGCCATCGTCGCTCACCTGTTGAGCCATTGTCTCTCAACCCCAAGGTCCTAAAGACTTTTGGAAGCTATATATAAGTATATAAGAGAGAGTTTTATGTTGAGGGGATGGAGTAAGCAATTACGTCACAGTAAAGAATGAAATATAGAGATGGGGATGGTATGGTATGGTTATAAAAAGGTGTGGGATGATGCCAATATAAAATGGAGCAGGGATGCATGATATAATGAAAGGGTATCAGAGAGAGAGAGAGAGAGCAGCAGCATTTCAAAAATCGGCCGAGTTACTCAGGTTCGGCCCCTTGCCCACATGAATACGAGGGTAAAAAAAAAGGGAAAATATAGAATGAGACCATTTATTTTTTGTAGAAGGTGATCACATTAATGTTGACTATTTGATGGTTGCAATTATTCCATTGGCCATGTTCAAACTTCAAAAAGAATTTTGTTGAACTCCGTAACACATCCAAGCAATCAAATATCACATCACATGGTTTGTAAATAATTGTGACCATCTTGTATAAAAAAGTAACTAATTTCCTTATATATAATCTCATAGACAAACTCGCGTAAAACCCCTCTCTCTTGGGTTGGGGATGCGTGCCCCAGTCTCTCTCGAGCAGGGGCTTGCCCCCTCTCTTTCTCAATTGGGATAGGGGTTTGCTGCAAGCCTCCCTCCCATTTTCTCTATCTCTCATGGTTTCCCTCTCTCTCCCCCTCTCTGTCTTTCTCAGTTGGAATAGAGGCTTCCTGCAAACCTCCCTCTCTCTCTCTCTCTCATGGTTTCCCTCTCGCTCGAACTCTTTTTTGGTCTCTCTCTATTTTCCTCTCAAATGAAATGTTTTAGACAAAAAAATATAAATATGATTGTATTCTCAAATTACTAAAGTGCAATGTCAATTTAACAATTTATAAAGCTGCTTTTATTCTCAAATTAGCTTTTTAGTGTAAAAAAAATTTCTTGCATGTATATTACTCTCTAAAAAGTGCGATGTGAATTTTCTTGTATGTATATTATTTTCTTTGTGTATTTTACCTTAAAAATAATTAAATATAGTTCTTATAGTCACGTGTTTTTCAGAAAAATCAAAGTGATACAATGATGGATGACACTGAAAAAGTATTGCTTCAGGTATATAAATATTTTATCCGGTACCCAATTATGCTTATAATATTTTTTTCATCACTTATTTTACGTTACAATAGTAAAAAAAAATATATATATAAAAGTTTAAAAAAAATACAATTTTTTTATAACTTTTCTTTACGATTTTTTAGTCTTATTACTTTTTCATTTTTCCAATATAAAACTAGGCACTAACCAGCCGACTAAGTCCTAGTTGGTCCGACTAATCAGCTCGTTCCATGACCGACTAGTCAACCAGACTCGTTCTTTCTTGGTCACATGGGATTTCGAAATATTTTTCCAAAAGCTGCCTAAGTTAAGTAGGAAAATTAATTTAAGTATGAAAATCATTTGGACAGCAAAGTGAGAGTACCATTCTTCAAACCCATATCAGTCGCCGGTGAAGATGGTATCTGCACATGTTGCGTGTACGTGAGTATTTCCAACTTCAAATATTTTAAATTTACAAGCAAAAACAAATAAAAAAATAAATACAACTTAGCCTTGTAAACCTCAACATTTGCATAGCCTCAACTCGAGGTGTTGCGTAGGCCTGGGGGCCCGTGCCTAAAAGTTTAGGACTCGGACCCCAAAATATGGCCTGAGGGTTAGACTGGGGTTGGGGCTTCTCACCTAACGCATTTAAAAACCACTAATGATTTAAAAAACGGGTAAAAAACTGAATTACCAAAAAAAAAAACAAATACATGAATCAATGGGCTTGGGTATTGGGGCGATCATGGGCCCTCGAAGCAATAACTGAATAACATTTTCTTTTGCAACAAAAGAACTCGGTGAACAAGCAAATGTTTTACATTAGGGAAAAGTTTATATAGAGCCAAGGCACTAAACAATCAAATTTAAGCGTACCTCAAAAATTTCACTAGAAGATGTTGTTTTGATGCTCAAATATCCTCAAATTGATCATCTCGACATCAAAATGCATGGACATGAGAAAAAAATAGATTTCAAGTTATGAAAATAGTGTATTTTGTAATACATTTTTGGACCGTCAATTTTCAAAATTTCAAGTATTCATATATCTATCAATCTATACTGTTTTTGAAATTTTAAATTTTATAAATAGAGATGAAAATAAATTTTAAGGCTATTACAAATATTTTCAGCATTGAAACTAGATTTTTCGATAATATTAGAAGGTAGGCTCTAATTTAATTATTTAGAGCCTAGGCTCTATACAAACTGCACCCTTTACAAAAAGGGCGTATTTGAATAGTGGGAGTTTCTCAACCTATTTTCATGTTTGATAGTACTTTACGAAAGCTGCAAAGGGTCAGGATGGCCACAGCCATTTTTAAGTATTAAAATGAGTTGATTTTTGTTTGATATTTTACTTTGTGAAAGTTGTCAAGTCGAAAAGGTGGCGACGCAGCTGTTTTTTTAGCATTAAAAAAGGTTGATTTGTAGAACACCTCCTTTTTCTTCCACTCCAAAAAAATAAAAATAAATAAATAAAATAAAATAAAATAAAATAAAAAATAAAATAATAATAATAATAATGGATCTGCAGTCTTCCATAATTTTTGGGAGAGTTCCTTCCGTTTCCAAAAACAAACTCTATGGTCAAACGAACCTAAATAAAAATTGGAGAAGAAGCAAATGTTTTGCATTAAGTAAAGGAAGTTTGAGTCAGTCCCCTCTCTTTCTCTTGGGAGCAGGGAGAATGTTCGCGTAACAATGTTTTGTCCCCTGACTTTATCCCTTTCTTATGTAACGGTTACATGATATTATTTCTTCTTTTATATATATATAACTATGAAAAAAATTTATATAACGTTGCAATCTGAAAATGTAGAAATAAAGATGCATCTCAAAAATCCATCGAAAAAAATTATTTTAATTTTGAAAACCTCAAATTGATCATCTCGATATCGAGATGTATGAATATAAAAGGTTGGGATAAGGTTAAAGTCTTAAATAATCAAATAACGAACGCCACAAAAATTCATTAAATGAGGGCTTTTCGAGATCGAAAAACCCTCAAATATGGATTTTATGTTTGGAAAATAGTGCTTTTTGTAATGCACTATCTGGGCATTCAATCTTGATATGCTCCATGTATATAATTTTTTAAGCTTTATATTTTATAATTAGAGATGAAACTAAAATAAAAGGCCATCATAAAGCTTTTTGCTGTCAAAATATCATCTTTCAACATTATTTAAAGGTACTCCTTACTGTAATTGTTTAGGGCCTCATTTTTATACAAACCACACCCATCCGTGATGGCATCTATGGGAATTTATTAACTAAAATATACTTATAATTTCAGTTACTTCATATATTATTTTCAAAATATCTAGTGGGTTTTTTAAATTAAATAAAAAACAAATAAAAATTTAAAGAGATTGTACACTATCAAATCATTTATCATGATAAAAGATGTCACAATCACTCATAGCTGATAATCATTTAATGTCTAATTTGATGGCTTAAGATATGTCAGGAAGATCAAGATTTTTTTCTTTCAAATTGAGACTAAGTTACGACACAGCCACCTACTTTAACTCTAAAGGACATGAGTAATTGTGACCTCCTTTTATATAGGGTAAATGGTTGCTTTAGATACTTTTCCAATTTTAAATCGATCATATCTCATGTATATTTTGATAAATTTCTATACAATTTATTCCCTCACGTCGATCAGACTAATATTTAGCCACCAGCCATTAGTTAATCAAACATATGCAATGCAATTTCTCATGCAATTTGACTTTACCACCCCATTGTTAAATAGGTTTTGTAGACCATTTCCGGGTTAATAACGTGTTTCATGAAATAATTTCCCAGTAATTGTTTTAGGAATTCAACAAAAACAGCCTAATTATCTTAGTCCCTCAATAGTGGACCTGCAGGACCATATTAACCTTGTTCCAACAGCCAAAACAACCAGAAAGGAAATTTATGTTCCACACAACTTTCTCAAAAATAATATCCGATCCTCTTAAGCTCAATTTTAAGAAAGTAAAATAATGTATTTTCAGATCAAAATTCCCATATCTAACATGAAAGTGGATGGTCCAAATTAATGATGGAAGGTCCAAAATTCACATTCATCGAAACCGATTGTCCAAATTTGAAGTTTTGTTAAGGTGGGTTTTGATTTGGGATCCTTTTTTAGCATCAAGTTCATTCTTCTTTTTTATATGAGTGTTGATTGTTACAAAAAAGATTTGAGAGTTTCCGTGTACGCTAAGCTGTTTCAAGTGCAAGACCAAATGAACAATTCAGTCCCACAGGGATTACATAAGCTTGTCCATTATTATTCTCAAGTTGTCTCAAATAAAGTAGTTGACCTGCATGGCCTTCTTTTGTAGAATTCAATAGCATATTCTCCTTGAATAAAAATCAGTTCTCACTCTTTTCTATCTTTGCCCATCATAATATAGAAATTCTTGGGCATCCATCCAGGCTAATCACCATTGATAGTCAAACATCAAATTTACAAAGGAAATCTGATACAAGAAGCATATATTTCTACATATAAGAAATACAAAGAAAATGTCAAATGGAAATTATATAATGGAAATTTGGTTTGGCCACAGAATGAGTCAACAAATGGTTGAGTTACCTCCTTTGAAAATTAAGTTTAGATATACAATGAGCAAACAGAAGGGCATAAATGAGAGGGTATAAAACTAGAACTAGAGCAACAACTCCCAAAAGGTCATGATTGAATCCAAAGTAATCTTTTAAGAAAGCACTAATAGCCTTTTGTTCTCCAAAAACAGTGATCACCTTGTCTATATCTCCATACTGTGAAGTTAGAAGGCCATTTAGGGTCCAAGCTGTAGGAGAAAGCCAATAGCACCAGACCCACCACTTGGGAATTTCCTGCATAAAAACATCAACCATGATTCATATTAATCATATATACATCTTATCATTAAAGGTATTAGCAAATTATATAAATACATCTATACACATATATTAAATTACATCAAGTATTGGATCATTACAGAATGGAATACATGAGATTTCTCAGTTTATTTTATTGTATTTTTTTTCCTGTTTTTAATATTGTTGGGGGTGGGAAAGCTGCATTCAACCCCAGGGCCATGGCATTCTAGCCCTTACTGCAGTAAAGTCTCAGATCACTGAACCAAGAGTCCAAAACCTATAGGACCCAGTCAATGCCTTTTGAGATCGAAGCATAATTACGGCTCTTTTGGGCTTCATAGTTTTAAATGCAAAATCTATACACAAACTTCACATCTAATTTTTTTTGTCAATTTTTTTTGTTTGCTTTCTACAACAGGTATAACTTTTAAGGCACAAAGAAATCAAACAAATGGGTCCTGTGGCCCTTGGAGTAATGGCTTGCATTTGGTTTGTGAGAGGAAGCTTAGGGTTTCGACACTTGAAGTTTGCCCCTTCTTCAAGGTGTGCGTTCGTGCTCGCTCGCACACACACACACACACACAGTGAGAGAGAGAGAGAGAGAGAGAGAGAGAGAGAGAGAGAGAGAGTACGTTAACG